GGATCGAACTCGGGACCTTGGGCTTGCTAGGCAGGTGCCGGCGCCACTGTGCTAAATCCCTGGCCCAAGTTGTATCTTATTTTCCTCTAGTTCTGGTAGGAGGATTCTGCCAGCCTTGCATAATATTGTAGGAAACTTGCCATTGTTTTCTGTGTTGTGTGTTTCCTACACCTATAAATAACTTACACAGTAGGAATGAAATACTTGCATGGTAAATAATGGCCTGCATCAAATGGGCTGAGCTGTGTTTGTACATTCCAGCACGGGGAAAGAGGCATGTTGACTGGTCAGAAGCAGGGCAGAGTGACAGGGTAGCATTTCCACCATGGCCACATCTGATGCGTGTGCGTTAATGGAACATATCACAGACCCAGGAGAATAAATGGACCCTTTACTGGGGAATGCAGCACTTCATCCTGTGGAGGCGATGCCTGAGGAGGTGGCTGCATCTGAGTGCTGTCTACTTTGGCTCCCTGAGGGCTGGGATGTGTGTAGGGCAGCATTGGTTGTGTGGCCCCCACTCCTTGTTGAGCCGTGGGGGCCTCTCACTTCCTCCTTCCCTCTCAGGGCTAGAGATGGCCTTGAAGTGGGAGCCCCAGAGGGAGCCAAGAACTATTCTCTATAGTGTTTGCTTTTCCATCAACAGGACCTGCAGCTCCTGGGGCAGAGGCTGAGGGGGATGTGTGTCTGTCCTGGAGTTCTTTGTGCTTTTCTGCATCTGAGATCGCCCTCCTTCTCTGCCACCTTCCCCATACACAAAGGTTGTTCATCGAAGGAGTGGAGAAGCACACGATTGAAGCTCACTGCTTGTTGTTTTTTCTTTAGTTACTGGGCTCTTCAGGTTTTCTACCTCATTTTAACTTTGATGGGTTTTATATTTTTCTTAAAATGCTAGATAGAGGCTGGGGATTTAGCTCAGTGGTTCTGCCGCCTGTCTCACAAACGCAAGGTCCTGATTTGATCCCTGGTACCAAAAAAAAAAAAATGCTAGAGGGCTGGGGATGTAGCACAGCGGCACTGCACCTGCCTGGCAAGAGCCAGGTCCTGAGTTTGATTCCTGGTACTGGAAAAAAAAAAAGCTAGATTAAAAAAAAATGCTTGTGAAAGAATTTTTATGTATTGGTATAACTGGTATAAAAAATGCCAACTTTCCAGTGTGGTGACACATGCTTGTAATCCCTAGGACTCTGAGGGACTGAGGGAGGAAGATCTCAACAATTTATCAAGACTGTCTCAAAAAAAGGGGGAGCGGGGCTGGGGATGTAGTTTAGTGCAAAGGCCCTGGGTTCAGTTCCCGCTACTGAAAGACAAAAAGAAAAAAGCTTTCAGAAAGATGATGCGAATGTGAAGGTGGACCTCTCCCGAGGGCCCTAGAACAAAGCCCTAGGGAAGTGAGCAGCCCACACCCAGGTTAGGAGAAAAAGTGCACACGAGAAACAGGCCCCAGGCCCCACAGGTGAGAAAAGAGCTCCTGCCAAAGAAAGACCCACAGAGACCAGGTATTGAACATGTTCCTGGTTAAGTTCTAAGAGAAGCCAGAAACCCGCATTCTTTCTTAATTTTTTTTTTTTTTGGTACCGAGGATTGAACTCAGGTCCTTGCGCTTTTGCAGCAGGTGTCGAAACCACTGAGCTAAATCCCCAGCCAAGAAACCTGAATTCTTATGTAAAATACCCTGTACTTTTAATTTTTGATAACTGATCATATTAATCTGTTGGCGCTACCTTAGATTACTTATTTTTTTCCTTGTTGCTTTAGCTGTGATTATACTTTGTTCCCATGACTCATCCTAGTCTTCTTAGTGTTACTATTGTATCATTTTATTTAAATATAAGAACCTCGCAACTGTCTGGGTTTACTGCCCCCTTCCTGACACTTAGTTGTCATGTACATTATACTTAATGTAAATCAGAGCCCCTACAGGGCTACATACTTTGAGTTAGCTGTACCAACTTTAAACTGATAAGAACAAGTAGTATTATATTTATGCATTTCTAGAACCCTTAATTTCTTTGTGAAGACCTAAATTTTAGCCTGGTCCCTTATTTTCTTTCTTTCTTTTTTCTTTTTTTTTGTACCGGGGATCGAACTCAGGACCTTGCGCTTGCAAGGCAGGAGCCGGAACCACTGAGCTAACTCCCCGGCTCCTGGTCCCTTATTTTCCTTCCAAGCTGAAGGACTTCCTTTAGCCCTTTTCGGTAGTGTATATCTGCTGGTGACAACTTTGTATTTCTCTCAAAATATATTTACCCTTTTAAAATTCTTTTGGGGTACTGAGAATTGAACCAGGGAACCCTAAGCTACACCCTCAGCCTCTTTTCTGCCTCTCACTGAATTGGGGGAAATTTTTGGCTATATTTTCCCCCTGCAAAAAATTTTTTCTGCCTCATTCTTTCTCTCTTTTATTTCTGGATGGGAATTCAGACTTCTGACTTTTTTCCTCAGAATGCTAAAGCTGTTCCTTTTTATCTTAATTGTTTTGTGTTTTTGTTTTTTTAGTACCAGGGGATCGAACTTGGGTTCTTGCACTTGCAAGGCAGGCGGCGGAACCACTAAGCTAAATCCCCGGCTCGTTGTCTTAATTTTTTTGACTTCATCCTACTTTTTATTGATCTATTTTCAAGTTTTTTTACTTATTTCCAGTATGGTGTTGCACCAATGCATCGATACTTTGATTCCACATATAGTATTTCTTAGTTACAGAGGTTCCATTTGGTATTTTTCATACTTTCTTTTTCTGTGATGTAATTTCTAATGTATTTCTTCTTTAGGACTAGATTTTCCTTTATGTCCTTTAGCATTACTGTAATCGATGCTTTGAAATCCTTGTCTGTCAAATTTCAGTATTTGGACCATTTTGGGATTAGTTTATATTGTTTTTCTGTTTCTTATGTTTAGCAATTTTGGATTATATACTAGATACAGTATCATGAATGTTGTATCCACATTATGGATTCTGTTATATTCTTTTATTTTTTTTTGGTACTGGGGATCGAACTTGGGTCCTCGCGCTTGCACAGCAGGCGGCGAAACCACTGAGCTAAATCCCCGGCCCCTGTTATATTCTTATAAGTGGTTTTTGTCCAGCAGCCAGAATCCCATTTCAGTTACTTTATAAGCTTGGTGGCTTGGAAAGTACCAGATACAGGTGTCACCTGCACTTGGTGGATTGAGGTTTTGCCCCTCCAGGTGTTTTTTTCATGGTTTGTGAAGGGTTTGTAGTTCTCAACAGTGGGATGGCTAGTGATATTTGCTGAAGTGGAGCCTTCTCTGACACACCGTGCCTTTAAGAACTGTGACATGGCTGAGTGTGGTGGGGGACACTCAGGAGGCAGAGGCAGGAGGATTGTAGGTTTGAAGCAGCCTGGGCAACATAGTGAGACTGTCTGAAAAATAAAATTAAAAAGGGCCAAGGATGTAGGAGTCCCTGGGTTCAATCCCCAGCACCACAATAAATGAGCAAAGATAAACAAAACATTTTAATGTGTTTGTTGTTGCACAGGAAGCTAAGCTGAAACTTGGGCTGTTTTAATATTCTCCCTCTCTCCCCTTTCTCAGCTCCCTGGGTCTTCTATGGAGACACCAGTGACTGTTGCTTCATGTCAGGTTCTTTTCACCTTGACCCTGTGGACACTGTGGACCACTGTTCTGTTTTGTGGGCACTGTTCTGTTCGTTGGAGGGTGTTTGGCAGCAGGCTTGACCTCTCCCCAGGAGATGGTCAGCAACAGTGCCCAAGTGATGAGAACCAAGTGTTTCCTGGCAGGCCTGGATGCCCCCAAGGAGCAGAGTCACGCTGGTGGAGAACCATGCATTCTCCGTTCATGGGCACCTCCGCCCTTGCTGTTTTCAGCTGTGCTCCTGCTTCCAGTGCTGTTAGCTGCTGCCCTCTCAGAGGGTTTTGTTGGGAGTCCGGGATGGTGTGGCCTCAGTCTTCCTGGCTGAGCAGGTGTCCACCTGTTCCTGTCTCTGGGGGTTTTGACCCTTTATTGGCGTCTCCCAGAGGGGACTGATGGTGTGTGGTGAAGGTTCCATCACCACACTGCAGCCACGAGGTCTTCCTAAACGACCTCACCTGCAGTTGGTCTCATGTGGATGCTGTGGCCAACTCTTTCCTCCCTGTGGCAGGGTAGTGTGTACTGTGGCCCAGCAGTGGTACCCCTTGATAGTGAAACTTTGGGTGACAGATGAATAAAATGTGAGCATTGCACTTGCTGTTTCTGCACTTGCTGTCCCTTGACTGAGCATTTAATTTGGGCCTGTGCAAGAAGAGCTTTGGGCAGAGAGTAGAACACTGGACCGGCTCAGACCAGAGCTCACTGGAATGTGGTTGCATGCTCACTCTTGGCTTGCTTTGCTTTTTCTTTTCTTTTATTCCGTTTCATCAGTCTGGAGCTATACTGTGCTGGGAGTTGGAAAATCTGATTTTAAACCTTGCTGGGCAGGTGACCTTGGCATGCCTCAGCATCCTCCTCAGCTGTAGCGGAGTGCTTGGATGAGCTTTTTGCCCATTAGTGTTTATTTTGCTATGCTCCCCTGTTGTCCTTTTACCTAAGTCTGGTGTTAGCTGCCCACATACATTGATCTCTTTTTTTTTCTTCTGGTGCTGGGGATCGACATCAGCTCTTTGAAAGTGTTGGTGTGCTAGGGGGCCAGGTGGTAATCTGTGTCCAGAGTGAGTACGCAGGCTAGGTTGTGTCCTTGTCACATTGACTGTGGGTGGTAATGGCAGCTTGGAATTTCCCATCCTGACTGTCATGTTACCCCTTTTACACATGATTCCTTGTGGCCTCCTTTCAGATTTATCACTTCTTGATTCTGTGTCATTTTTGTGGTATTAGTTTCCTCCTGGAACCTAATTCATTATATAAAACATCATAAATTGCCTCACCGCCCCCCCATCACCACCCTCCACAAAGCTATACAGTAGAGGTGTTGGTGTACTTATCCTAGGCTTTAAATGTAATATGTTGCTTTTTCTCTCCCTCATTTAATTGTCTAGTGTTCTAAGAGCCGACGCATCTAGGCTGGATGGAATTTAGTATCAAAAAAAGTTCTCTTTCTGTGCAAAAAGTTGTAAAGTGCATAAAGATGAAGCAGGCACCAGAAATCCTTGGCAATACAAATGGAAAGACTCAGAACTGTGAAATGAATCGCGACTGTTCTGTATTCCTCAGCAAAGCTCAGCTTTCTAACAGCCTACAGGAGGGGGTCATGCAGAAGTTTAATGGCCACGATGCACTTCCCTTTATTCCAGCAGAGAAGTTGAAGGATCTTACTTCCTGTGTGTTCAATGGAGAACCTGGTGCTCCCGATGCCAAATTGTGTTTTGAGTCCCAGGAAGGAAAAGGAATTGGGACACCGCCCAACACTACCCCTATCAAAAATGGCTCTCCAGAAATCAAGCTGAAAATCACCAAAACATACATGAATGGGAAACCTCTCTTTGAATCTTCTATCTGTGGTGACAGTGCTGCTGATGTGTCTCAGTCAGAAGAAGATGGGCCGAAGTCGGAGAGCAAGGTGCGGAGGAGCAGGAAAAGGAGCATAAAGTACGACTCCTTGCTGGAGCAGGGCCTTGTGGAAGCAGCTCTGGTGTCCAAGATCTCGAGTCCTGCAGATAAAAAGGTGTGTGTGAGGGATTCAATTATGCCATGAAGGTACGGTGACAGCGGGACTATGTGGGGACATCTGCAATGGCAGCCAGAGACTGGGGGACAAGCTTGGTGCCACCAGCTGCCTTGGCCACGTGGGACTGCTGCCAATTGAGCCTTGGTTGCAGGGCACCTAAGTCCATAGCCACATGCTGGACCAGTTGAGAGGCCTAGAGCTTAAGTGTTTGGGATTAAAATGACGCAAAAAAGGGCCAGGGATTTAGCTCAGTGGTTCCGGTGCCTGCCTTGAAAGCACAAGGTCCCGAGTTTGTTCCCCGGTACCCAAATAAATAAATAAATTTTAAAAACGACGCAGAGGAGGCAGAACCAGTTTCTGAACCCAAGCCTGCCAGTTCCCGGGCCCTTGCTGGATGCCTTGAGCTGTGCTGTTTTCCTGGGTCTCCTTCCTGGAGGGCATTCTTCAGGCTGACACTTGGGCCTCCGGTGGGACTGAAGTCTGTGCTGCCTGGCGGTAGGGGCTGGCGGTGCTGTGCTGTGTAGAGGCCCCAGTGCCTGTCTTCTCCTCCACCAGGTGGTTTACCAGTTAGCTGCCTCCTTGAGGACCGGGATGTTCTTGGTTCCCAGTGCAGAGCCCAGCACTCTGAGCACCATTGAGTGTGGGTACACTCCCCCAGGCAGGAAGGAACCCTGCCTTCAGGTGGGGGTTGCTTGGTCCTGTTTATTCTGCAGATGCTTTGTGTCACACACTTCTGTGAGTGTAGGCCATGTAAACAGCAGAGGGACCTTAGCCTTGCAGAAGGAGGTAAGGACACCAGGCGGCTCCCTTCCCCCTTCTCACCCAGCAGGCTCGTGGCCTGGGCATCCTGGGTACTTGTTGGCCTTGACTGCGGCTCCAGGCCTCTGGGAGAAGTAGGGCAGGAACCCCAAATGGGTATGAGTTGGTGCCACAATAAAGTTGGAACATGTAGTTTACAATTATACTTGTGGGATTTTGTTTAGGAGTTCCACAGACAGAAGGAATAGTTGACGTTTCCTTGGAATCCTTAAAGTCATTAAGAGTGTAAGGGCTTAAAAACAGTGGCTTTTGGGTGCTCAGGAGCTACTTTGCTCCTCCTAATGTAATTTCAAAGGCAGACTTTTTTTTTTTTTTTTTTTGGTACCAGAGATCAAACTCAGGTGAGGCAGGCAGCAGAACCACTGAGCTAAATCCCCAGTCCTCAAAGGCAGACTTTAAAACACCCATTTAGTAGCCTGGGCTGATGGAATGGGCTTTGGAAATGCCCATGGATGTAGTGAACCTTATGTTTTACAGGAGGAGTAGCTTGTTCAAGTTGCCAGAAACCTGGCTTTTACTCCTAGCTCTGCCACTTGGTCTTGTTAAAACTTGGGGACGTTACCCACACTTTGACTCTCCACCTGCCTGGTGGGGTACACCTGGGATGTTGTGTGTCATCTCAGCGCTGAGGTCTTTTGAAAGCATGTAATGTGACTGTACCAGTCCTTGCCACCATGCTCATGCATCTCTGACAGCCAGTGAGATTTCAATTTCAGGGTGTCACCCTCAGCTCACAAGAGGAGGAAACTGAGGCCCAAAGCAGTTGCAGTGCTCTTAGGAGCTCACCCTCAGGAGGCTGTGGCCCTCCTAGAGAATAGAATGCATGGTGGCTTGGGGAGGACATTAGAGATGGAGAAACAGAAGCTCAGAGAGCTCTGAGCCCTTGAACATAGGGCTGGGGCTGGCCCTGCCTCGGCAGAGGGCTCTGCTGCTGGGTGAAGCACAAACTCTTGAGGATTGACAGACATGTGGCTAGGGGAAGGGTCAGTGTGGATTTGGGGTTCTGGAATTAAAGCACCATTAAAGACCATGCACCGGGCCAAAGGAGGTTACTAGAAGTCTTCTTAGTGCAGAGCTGCCCTGTGCAGACCCTTTAGGAGAGAGCGAGAGACACAGCAGCTGCCAGGAAGAGATATTGGGACTGTGATCTGAAACATAGCAAGAGGAGCACTGCTTTTTGGGGTCCATGTTTGTGTCGCTTATTTTTTTATTTTTATTTTTGGTGGTGTTGGGGATGCCAACAGGCATGCCAAACAAATGCTGTACCCCTAGCCCTCCATGTATGTTTGGACCTAGAGCCTGATTAATCTTCTGTTCTCTTTCAGATTCCAGTTAAGAAAGAGTCCTGCCCAAACACTGGCAGAGACAAAGACCACCTGTTGAAATACAGCGTGGGTGACTTGGTGTGGTCCAAAGTGTCGGGTTACCCTTGGTGGCCTTGCATGGTTTCTGCCGATCCACTCCTTCACAACCACACCAAACTTAAAGGTATTGCAGTTTTGGCTGTTTTTCCGTTTTCCTGTTTTGCACATAATCTTTCTCATCTCCGTGCTTCTTGCTTATGCTTCTTAAATGGCCCTATAGTAGTTCACTTTTGCAACTTTTCCTAAGGTCAGTGGTTGATTCAAACACTGCCATTTTTTTTGTTGCTGTTGTTTTGTCTTTTGAGACAGGCTCTTGCTGTGTAGCCCTGGCTGGCCTCGAACTCGAAGTGGTCCTCCTGCCTCAGCCTCCCAAGTGCTGGGGTTACAGGCACAAGCCACCAGGCCCAGTTACTCTGACATTTCTTAGGAGAAATGGTCTTTGCCTTGTGTTACTTTCAGGTTTTGTGATTTTTTTTTTTTTCGGTACCAGGGATCAAACTCAGGACCTTGTGCTTGGGAGGCAGGCACGGTGCCGCTGAGCTACATCCCTGTGTTGATAATTTGTTCTTTGACTAGTACTGTGATTGCTTGTTTCAGCATGATTAACCAATCATATTTTACACTTTTGACTTATAAAAATGTCGAAGCTGGTCATATTAGCTGGTGGGAAGAAGAAAACAGTTAGAAATGGTCATTTTTGTCTTACAAAACCAGGGTAGATAAATTGGTAGATGAAACAGCTGAAGAACATATTCAGAAGGTAATATGTCACCAGTAAAGAGCCAATACTATAATAGACAACCCATAGATGGGTTTTGGTGGAAATGTAAGCAAAGATTGGCTGGTTTCAGATTCTTCTGGACAGTTCTTTCCACGTAGAGTTGGAATTTGGTTTGCAGAAGATGAGATGTGAGTTGAGTCGGGCTGAGCAGACCAGTGCCTACTGCCTGGCTGGACCTGGCCAGCACTCTGGCCTCGGACTGCCCATTAGTCACACTGTGTGACCACTCTGGGGGCCACAGGACTGTAACCTCTGCTGGTGTCTGCCAGAGGCCTGAGCTTCGGGGAGTGTATTTTGTCCACCTGGGCCTAGGTCCTCACCTTGTCACCTGTGTGCTGCATAGGCCTGTTGGCTGGTGTGGGTCAGGTAGCTGTGGGGCGTCGGTGATGGCAGTCCTTGTGGCAACCATAGACTGTAGTGGCGGGGTCAGGGTAATGGAGACCCCGAGTGTCCCCTTGGACCTGTGAGTGGCTGTGCTGTGCTGGGGGGCTCAGGGCCAGGTGGGCTCCGAGGGATCCCTGCCTGCCTCCAGTCTTGTCCCTGCCATGGGACCTTTGGGGTCCTGGCTTTGCCAGAAAGGAAGGGCCTCCCCAGAGGTGCCAGAGCCCCAGCATGAATGAACCTCAGGGCACGTAGATCTGGAGCGTGACAGAGAAGTAGAGTCTGCCACCCCTCTGAAGTGTGGTGTCACCCATGGGGCACACACTTTCTGCTCCAGTCCTGAGAGCCAGACACAGTCCCACTCAGCAGGTCTTTTGGTTGGTGTCATTTATCTTCACACACCATTGTGTCTGGGGAATTTTTAGTGTTTATACAGAGCTGTTGGAAAATTCCTCACTGGGATAGTGGTGTGCCATTTTCTACTGGTAGTTCCTTCGGTTTCTACTTAGCCTATTGTGGGGCTCTGGTGCCCCCCAGGGACGGAACTGGGAAGCTCCGGTGCAGTCATCTCTGTGCTCTGGCTCCCGGGGAGCTCTGATCTCTTGCCCTTGTGACTCTGCCCTGTGTGTCTTTTTCCTTCGGGGGCACCATCCTTGGCTGCCTCTCTGTGGCTGCTCTTCCTCCTGGAGCCTCAGCTGAGGCAGCCTTGTCTCTTGTGGGACCCATTCTGCATGTGAGGATGGCTGGGACAGGCTCCACCAAATCTGAAGGGGCAGGCAGCCCAGGGCCAGATGAGCTTTGGGGAGGAGCGAGGGGACATGGTGCTCAGCTGGGCACCAGGCTGGGAGAGGGGAGCACTGAGATCCCTGGACGGTGGGGGTGGACGCAGCAGGGCAGGTGCAGCAGTGGCACTGGGCTGGCCAGCTGGTAGGAGAGAAACAGAGCAGTGAGAGGTCACCTCTCTGGGTGGACCAAACGAAGTTCTGTAGATGAGAGACACCAGAAAGGAGAAAGTTGGATTATGTTATCAAATTTGTAGATTGGAAAGAACTTAAAAAGTGTTTTCATTTATTTCATAAACTTGACCAGACTATAGTAATAGCGTACTTTTTCCTATTATGACACGTCAAGATCATTTTTTGTGTCACTTTTTCCCCATTAAGTTTATTGGTACATTTTAGGTGTACAATACAGTTACATTCATCATTGGGATCTTGTACCTTTACATGATGTATCTTGGTTCTTATTTTTTCCCCATTTCCCCGCCCTCCCTTCAGCCCCTCCACCCTTCCCTATTTACAAAGACTTTGTTTCCATTTTTTCCATTTCTCATATTTTTTCGTTTCCCTTCTTTCCTTTCCCCTCCCCCTCCCACTTCCCCTACTCCTTTAGACCTTTTTTTCCTATTTCACGATATCAATTATACATTTTTATTCTTATTTACACTTTCAGTTTTTCACACCAGAGAAACTATTTGGTATTTACACAGGTGTGTCCTGTTTATTTCACTTAAGAGGATGGCCTCAATATGCATCCATTTAGCTATAAATATCTCTATAGTTTCTTGTTCTTTATGGCTGAGTAGTACTCCATTTTATAAAAAAAACCCCACATCTTCTTTTTCCAGTCTCCAGTTGATGGGTGATTGGGCTGTTTCTAAGCTTTAGCTATTACAAACTATGCCTCTATAAACATGGGTGTACATATATTGCTGTGGTATGATTCTTTTAATTCTTTTGGGAAGATATCCAGCAGAGGAATAGCTGGGTCAAATAGGATCTCTAATTCTAGTTTTATGAGTTATCTCCATATTGATTTTCACAGTGGTTGCACTAGTCTGCACTCTCACCAACAGTGGAGAAGGGTTCCTTTGTCCCCACAGCCCCGCCAGCATTTGTTATTGATTGATTTTGTTTTTTTTTTTGTACCGGGGATCGAACTTGGGTCCTTGCACTTTTGAGGCAGGCACCGGAACCACTGAGCTAAATCCCCGGCCTGGTTAATTTCTTGAAAGCAGCCATTCTTTCTGGGGTGAGGTGGAATCTCAGTGTTGTTTTTATCTACATCTCTCGAATGACCAGTGATGTTGAACATATTTTCATATGTTTATTTGCTGCTTTTACTTCTTTGAGAAATGCCTGTTCATTTCAGATGCCCATTTTTGAATTGGGTCTTTATATTTAGGGGATCTGATTTTTTTTTTTAGTTTTTTACGTATTCTAGATAATAGACCTTTGTCTGAGGAACAGCTGGTAAATTCTTTCCCACATTGTAGGTTGTCTCTTAGCTCTGCTGGTGGTGTGTCTTCTGTGCAGAAGCTTTTCTTTTTCTTTTTTTTTTTGGTACCAGGGATTGAACTCGGGTCCTTCTGCTTGTGAGGCAGGTGGTGGAACCAGTGAGCTAAATCCCTGGCCCCCAGAAGCTTTTTATTAAGATGAGACCAGGTTGTTGATTCTCTGTGCTAGTTCCCGTGCTACTGAGGATTTGTAATTTGTTTATAGACACAATTTAAGTTCATATTATTTCATTATATGTACTATAAAATTTCTTTTTATTTATTTATTTATTTATTTTTGGTACTGGGGATCAAACTCGGGACCTTGCGCTTGCGAGGCAGGTGGCTGAACCACTGAGCTAAAATCCCCGGCCCTAAAATTTCTTCATTATAAAACTGCTATGACATATATCTTTCTTAAATAGTACTGGGGATTGAACCCAGAGCCTTTTCAGTGAGCTACATCCCCAGCTCTTTTTTTATTTTTTATTTTGAGACAAGTTCTCACTGCATTGCCCAAGCTGGGCTCTTAAGTTTCGATCTTCTTGCCTCAGCCCCCTAGAGTGCTGGGATTATAGGTGTGTGCCACCATGCTTGGCAGAGGCCCTGGGTTTGATCCCTAGCATCACCACCACAAAACAGAAACAAAAACAAAAACAAAGCAAAAAACCCACAAAAAGCCTTCATATTAAATGAAGTAATAAAAACGAAAAGATATCTTTAAAAATGCTACTGAAAGATTAATAGTGAGAAATCCCCTTTCCCTCTGGAAGTCATTATTTGAACTCTGGACGTTGCAGAGCAGTGGCGTTGCAGGTGTGCACACCTTGCCCAGCTCCACACGTGTGTTCTGAGAGTGCTGAAAGTTTGTTGGGGACGGGGCTCAGTGGTGAGAGCAGCTGTCACTTTCCACGCAGATTTTCTGTTGTCTTTTTATTGTAGAAAATGGGCACTAAACTCTCCAACCATTTCCCTCATTTTCTCTGTATAATTAAGTCAGTTTTAAATTAAAAATTATTTGTATAATTTAAGTTCTGGAAGTATTCAGTGAAAGGCCAAGTTGTGTACCATTAGTTTTCTTTTTGAGGAATCTTTTGTTTTTCTGGAGTTACTTACTGTGTTAAATGTCATACACTTTGGTGTCTGTAAAGCCTCCATTTTTTCTCAAGTATTTATCTCTCTGACTTTAACATTTATCCTGCGGGGTGTGGAATCCCAGCTACTCTGGGGGCTGAGACCGGAGGGTTGTAAATTTGAGGCCAGCCTCGGCAATTTAGTGACAGCCTGTCTGAGAAAAATTCAAAAATGGATGGGGGTGCAGCTCAGAACTCCCTTAATTTCTTATCCAGTACTGCCCAAAGCAAACAAAACACCAAAACCTCACTTTTATGTAATTTCTCCTGTTTGAGTACACGTACTTCTTTTCTTTCCACAAGAGGAAGAAAGCCTATGTGTGAGTCCTTGGGAACTCATCTCAGCCCTCTCCCCTTGCTGCCGCTGCGGCTACCTCTGCGAGACTTCTCTGGGTGGGCGGAAGCTCTTTGTGCCTTCTTTTCTCCCGGGGCGGGCGCTTGCTCCCTGGCCTGCGCTGCTCCTCTGTTTGCTGCGCCCACTCTCCTGAGGCGCCCGCATCGTTTCTGTAGTTTCATGTCCTTTCCTTATTGATTGCAGGAGTACATTCACATTTTCTTTGTTTTGTGGTGCTGGGAATGGGACCTGGGCTGCTAGGCAAGTGCTCTACCACTGTGCTGTATCCCCATCCCCAGGAGTGCATTCTCAACATTGGTAGAAAGCGTATGTAGAGCTGGGTGAAGTGGTGCACGCCTGTAATCCCAGCACTCTGGGAGGCTAAGGCAGGAGGATTGTAAGTTAGAGCCCAGCCTGGGTAACTTATCTGAAAAACAAAAGAGGCCTGGGTTTAATCCCCAGTACTGGGGAGCAAATAGGGTATGGGAGGTACATTTGATTTCCTGTGGTTCAGAGAATACTTTTCTGTCCTCATACTTGATAATCATGAGTGTGGAGTTTTGCATTGAGAATAATTCCTCTCATTATTAGAAGGCTCTACTCCAGGGCCAGGGATTTAGCTCAGTGGTTCTGCCACCTGCCTTGCAAGCACAAGGCCCTGAGTTCGATCCCCGGTACCAAAAAAGAAAAAGAAGGCTCTACTCTGTTTCCCTTCAGAACCAAGTCGGGCTGTACTTGTAGGACCTGTCACTGCACGCTTCCTATCACTGCATGATTTGCTCCTCTTCCATGGCTTCTGTCCTTCTGCTTGCTGCCAGCAGTGTGGATTTCACAAGGATGTGTCCTGCTCCTGGTGTTGGTGGTGAGGCCCTGGGCAAGAGTTTCAGTTCTGAGGCATGATTTTCTGTTGATCTGTGGAATTTCTCTGTCCCCCTCTCCAGAGAGGCTGTTGTTTGGGCATTGCACCTTCTGGACTGATCCTGTAGGTTTTTAATGGGAATGGTTATTTTTCATCTTAATCTTTTTCTTCTTTGGGAGGGATTTCTTATCTTCCAAGCTTGCTTGCATTTGTTGTTTGTTTGTTTAGGCAGTACTGGGGATTGAACCCCAGTACTCTTACTGAGTTGTTCAGGCTGGCCTCTCAAGAGTGCCAGGGTTACACGAATGCGCACCATGCCAGGACTTCCAAGTGTTTTTGATGAATTTTATTTTCTGCCTGTTTCTTTTCCTGTGCTCTCTCTCCATAGCCAGCCAGACTCTGTCCCTGCGGGGTGCCTCCTTCCTTGTGTTCTGCCTGTGACTCTGCAGGGCTGCCCTGAACTTCCTGTGTGCTTTGGGCTCATTTGTCGGGTTGGCTGCTGTGTGCAGAGCCTGTGGGAGGCTCTGGGCCCAGCCGCCACCCCCTCAGGGGTCTCTTGAGAGCCGTGTGCAGAGGCTTCTGCATGCGCCCTGCTTCCCTTGCTTGGCTCCGAGGCCGGCTCTTCCGGTTCCTCTGGGTTACCTCCTCTTGGGTTTGGGGACCTGGATCTCTTTCCTCGTCTAGGCTCCCTCTACCCACCTGGAAGGGTATGGTGGCGGTGGAGGGTACTGAGGGGTCACTGTGGTCTTGACCATGCTTCCCCCAGGTCCTGGGTGGCTGGCGGGGAGCTCCGGGCATCACCTGCACTGTTGCTGCGCCCTCCCTGTTGAGATGCCCCTTGCTCATGCTGGCTCTTGTGCTGCTTGTCTGACCTCTCCATAAGAGGACCTTAAGAGGGAGGAGAGGAAGGAGCACAGCCAGTTGTCTTCTTTCCTAGCCAGCTTTGCACATTCTCCCTCCCCACCCCATCTTCACACTGAGCTACATCCCCAGCCCTTTTGACATTAAATTTGATTTTTTCAGTTTTTTGAGGCAGGGTCTTGCTCTGTATTCCAGGGTGCCTTGATCTCAGTGTGCAGCACAGGTTGGCCTCAATCTCACAGAGTCCCTCCCGAGTGCTGGGTTTACACGCTTGGGTTCTCTGTCTCTTGTCAGTGAGTTTCCCTCTTGGGCATGCAGCGTGGAGTATTTTGAGGTTAGTAGGCTCACATAGCACCAAATAAAACAATGTCAAAACAACAATAGACTTGCCTAATTTCTCCCCAAATTCTAATGTTCGTGTTCTAATGTTTTATTTTAAAAATTAGGTCAGAAAAAGAGTGCACGCCAGTATCACGTCCAGTTCTTTGGTGATGCCCCAGAAAGAGCATGGATATTTGAGAAGAGCCTTGTGGCTTTTGAAGGAGAAGGCCAGTTTGAGAAGTTATGCCAGGAAAGTGCCAGGCAGGCACCCACGAAAGCTGAGAAAATCAAGGTGGTAGATATTTCTTCAATGAGCTTATAGACCGAGATTTTAATCTTTTTTTTTTTTTTATCATTTGTCTTATGTTGAACATAGGTCTGTTCGAAATGATTTCTTGCATCTGTCATTGTTTTCTTTTTCCCACATATACTCTAAAATATGTCCCCCGTACCAAAAAAAAAAATTTTTCTACTCTGTTGGGCCGGGGATTCAGCTCAGTGGTTTCGCTGCCTGCTGCACAAGCGCAAGGATCTGAGTTCGATCCCTGGTACAAAAAAAATAAATAAATAAATGAAATAAAATATGGGGAATGTCTTTAGAGACAACTTATTTTTCTTTTATTCATTTGATGACTCCTAGAAATAATTTATTTTATAATTTTTATCTTTTTATGTACACTAGATTACATTAGTTAATGTGATTGGAATTCTAGTTTAAAGAAACAATAGTTATTGGCTGAATTCTGGCTAAACTCCGCTAAATCCGTTGGTTTTATTTATTTATTTTTATTTTTATTTTTATTTTTTGGTACCGGGGATCAAAGTTGGGACCCTGCACTTGTGAGGCAGGTGTGTAAATCCATTGGTTTTAATAGTTTTTGATTTCTAAATTCATCTGAAATTATAAAAATGTCTTGTGAAGTGAGTGAAGTCTTATGTTCGTGTAATAGAACTCTCAATGTCCTATGTCTCTTCACAGCTGTTGAAACCTATTTCAGGGAAACTGAGGGCTCAGTGGGAGATGGGCATCATTCAGGCGGAGGAAGCTGCCAGCCTGTCTGTGGAAGAGCGGAAAGCCAAGTTCACCTTCCTCTATGTGGGGGACCAGCTGCACCTCAACCCCCAGGTAGCCAAGGAGGCCGGCATTGCTGCTGAGGGCTCTGGAGAAGTGGTGGAGCCTGCCGGGGTTGGGGAAGCAGCTGCTGCAGACCCTCAGGCTGCTCAGGAGGAGGGCATTCCCATGAAGAGGAGGCGGAGAGCCAAGCGGTCTAGCTCTGTCGAGAACCACGAGAGTGATGCCTGCGTGGAGAAGAGCACTCCACAAAAGCCCACCGAGGCCGAGCCCAAAAGAGGAGTCGGGTCTCCCCCTGGGAGGAAGAAGGCAGCAGCCTCCACTCCAAGGAGCCGGAAGGGAGGTGCGGCGTCTCAGTTTTTGGTCTTCTGTCAAAAGCACCGGGATGAGGTCAGTATTCTAGAGGGCTCTGAGGTGTTTCCTGCCACAGCTCCTAAATTGGAGGAGTAGTCATTTGGTGCAGAAGATCTGTTTCTCAGCAGTGAGTCTCACTGAGATTTGGATCTAACACCTACAGTTAGGGAGCAGCACCTTGCTCCTTCGGGGCAGAGACACTCACCTTGGCTCTGGGTTGCTCCCTGGCTTCTCCCAGGAAGAGGCGGTACTGCTGGGAAGGGATCTCACTTGGCTGCCCTGCCAGGAGCGTCCATCGCTGGGGAGCGTTTTCGGAGTGTCCGGTGTGGGGATGCCCATTCATATGGATCTACTAGCATTGAGAATGTTGAATATTTACTTCCATGAGATATAAAAGAACAGTAATGTATCAGTGATTAAAGTGTGTGTTTGTTTGTTTTTTATTTATTTGAGACAGGGTCTCACTATGTAGTTCAAGCTGACCTTGAACTCACTATGTAGCCCAGGCTGGCCTCAAACTGGCTTCAATCCTCCTGCCTCAGCTTCCCAAGTGCTAGGATTACAGGTGTGCACCACCATGCCCAGGATTAAAGAAAGCATTTAAATAATTTTACTGTTTTAATAAGATACATGATCTATTTGTGCATAGTAAAGGCTCAATTCCATCATAAGGAACTGAGCCTCCTCTTTAGTTCACTGTTCCTTGAAGTGAGTGTGTTATCTGGTAGCACAAAAGCCTTTTTATTATAGTGTTTAATTTCACTTTCTTGGGAATTTTTTAAGTACTGGGGATTGAATTTGGGACCTTGCGCTTTTGAGGCAGGTGGTGGCACCACTGAGCTAAATCCCCGGCCTCATGGGAATTTTCTGTGTAGGGGTTTCCAAACTCCACAGAGTGATTATTAAGGTACCAATAACAAACAGCATCTGTTTTCCAAACATTATCATTGGATGTTTAGCCAGCACCTGTTCTGTGGGAAATGACGTATAGCGCAGTGCAAGACCGCCAGGCGTTTGACAGAGATGTGCAGCTGCATGGTTTGGGTCTTGTCAGAAGTCATGGGACATGAGGTTTTTGTCCCCACACAAGAGCTGGGGAGCCTTCAGGAGGAATCGGTAGGGCTTTTCTCAGGAATGCAAGGGTGGTTTAATGTTAGAGGTCAGTTTCCAGCTTCTTTCTTGTGAATGAGGAAAAGTATTGAACTTCTTGAAATGGATCTTCAAATGGGTGGACTATCTCAAGTTTTTCCCTGTGAGTCTTTGTTCATTAGAAACCCTAGGCAGCAGGTGTGGTGGCAAGGCACTCTGGGCAGCTGAGGGAGGAGGATTGCAAGTTCGAGCCCAATCTGAGCAAGACTGTCTAGGTGGGACCTGTCTCAAAATAAAAAGGGCTGGGGATGTAGCTCAGTGGGAGATCCTGGATTTAATTCTTAGTAACACACACACACACAAGCAAGCCTAGGTCAGTGGTGGCGAACCTGTGGGACATGTGCCAAAGCCGTCTGTTACTATTGAAACCTCTAAAAAGGTTCAACATCACTGGCTTAGATAATGTTAGCAGCAGTTTCATTAGCAGATTTTGGCTTGAGTTTCCAAGATTTAAAGTCTTTCTCACCTTCTCCAGTCCTAATTTTATGTTGAAAACAAAAACTAAATTAGAGTTGAATGAATGCTTTGTCTCAAGTTCTTTGTGTGTGCCTTTGTTAGCTACTGGTTGTGCATAGCAAGTTACCTCCAAACACAGTGGCTTAGAGCAGCAGCAGCGCTTACCGTCTGAGATCTGTGGGTGAGGAAGAAGCTGGGAACAGTTCGGTGGGACAGCTAGGCTGCAGTGTCTCCTGAAGGTGCAATTAGGTGCCAGCTGGGGCTGCCTCTGAGGCTTGCTGGGGCCAGAGGGCCTGCTTCCAGGTCCTCACTTATGTGCGGGCAGGAGGCCCAGTTCCTTACCATGTGGCCCTCTCCACGGATGGATGAGGGGCCTCGTTTCCCTAGAGCAGGGGGTCCAAGCAAGGGCCAGGTGATAGCTCTCATGGGCCTGGAAATCATACGCCACCAGCCTCACTGTGACACGAGTACAAATCCAGGCCTCATCAGTGCGGAGCAAGAGTATGAAAAGGTGGCTCAAGGGCTGTCCTAGAGGATGGCTACTGGTTATGGCAGCATCCTCCTCTGAAGTCTAAAAGGAAAAGCAAAAGGAAGCTTTAAAAACTTCATGTGCAGGCCGTGGAGGGAGTGATCTAGAAGGGCTGGTAAAGTCTTGATGGTAACATTTCAGTGAGCTGTGAGTGGGCCTGTGGGTTATTTTTATTTTCCATATTTTTTTTATATGGCTGAAATAGTTGACTAGACATTGAGAAGTAGCCACAGTTGTGTGCTTACTGTGTGTTAGGTATCTTACCAGGATGTTACTGTGCAAAATTGTGCCCAAAGCTATAATGACCTTCTCAGGTGGATGTAAGTGATTTATACCTGTTTTTAGCTGGCTCTGTTGAGCACATGAGTGTAAAATTCTCTCTCCTTCACTGGTGAGCTGATGCAGCAGGAAGCAGGCCCTAATTATGTGCACATGTGTACGTTAGTGTGTATCCAACCCATAACATACAGACACTCTTCAGTGTACCATGGGTTGGGTCTCGGTAAACCCATTTTAAACTGAAAATACTGTAAGTGGAAAATGCATGAATCCTCCTAATCCTCTGCTGAATGGCACAGCTCAGCCTCATGGCAGCTGCTGAGGGTCTAGTTCCCCTCTTGGCTGTGGAGCCACCTGGAGCTGTGCGTACCACACTGCCCAGCACAGCCTGCGAGGATCCTGAAGTGGTCAGAATTCAAAATTGGAAGTATGGTTTCTACTGAGTGCACATTGCTTCCGCACCATCATCAGGTAGAAAGATTGTAGGTTGGAGGCCATCTGGATGCTGCTTTGTTACACAGACTGCCATAGGCAGTCATGGCTTTACCAACCTATGTGATAGGAAGACCCTTGACACACATAGGTGAGAGATGGGAAACAGACAGACAGCAGGCACCTGGTACAGGATGGTGCTGCTCTTCCCGATGGCCACTCCTAAGCAGCATGTGAGCCAAGACCTGCAGACAAGCACGGGGCGATGAGGAGTGACTTCCACCGCTGGCTGGGGACTGACCTAGCTCAGACAGAGTTGTGTGTGAGAGAATCTGTGCTGGTTATGCAGCACCTTAGAAGTTGTGGTGAAGCCCTGGGTCTCGGGGTGGGGCGAGGTCACCCCAGGAAGGGCAGGCTGCCATGGGTGGTTGCTGAAACTCTGACCTGAAGTCAGGGAGCTCTGTAGGAGTGGGATCGACCTGCTCAGCTGGGGCAGAAGCAGAGTAAGGGTGACTGTGAGGAGACTGGGAATCTGTGCTTTGTCCTGATCAAGGGCCAGGAGAGGGGATGGGATTCTGGGGCAGAGGTCAGGGACCAAAGGAAGTTGGAGAAAGGGCCCTGAGGAGTTGGGAGGGTTGAGGCAGTAGGCAGGGGACAGACCTCGTGTGTCCAAGGAGTGGTGCCGGGCTAGGACCAGCTGGGTGGGGTATGGTAGCAATGGGACCCCAAGGAGAAGGCCAGGGCAGCGTTGTGGTCAGAGCTCGACTTGAAGTCACGGAAGGTGGGAGGTCTTGGGCAGGCGGGCGGAGTGCACCCACAGGTTGCCTCTCACTCTGATGTGGAGAGGGGTGGGGGTGGGGGTGTTGGTGTCCATGGGAGGCAACAGGGCAGAGGGTGACCACGTGACCAAACAGGTGGCAGAAGGGCAGATCTGTGAGGGGCCGTCCACAGTGAGCAAGGGCTTGGGACTGAGGACAGTTTACTTGTGTTGGCTGGGCAGGTGGAAGGTTCAGGCCATGGTGGTAGCTGCTGTGCATCAGCCCACTGATTTCTTAACGCTGCCCTCATTTCACAAGGTGGGGTGGAGATGGCACCTTCACCTGGCCAGGTGGAGGAGTCAGGGTTGGAGCCAGTGCTGTTCTGAAATCACCCTGGTTAGTGCTCTGTGGCCTGCAGGCAGGCAGTGGGGCCTCTGTCCTGATGTTGTGGCATAAACAGCCATGGGCAGGACAGCAGCACAAGCTTGTGGCGAGTTCCAGTGAAATCTTGTTTATGGCACTGCCTTTGGATTATTTATTATTTTTTTGCATGTGATAAAATAATTCTTTTTTCAGGTTTTTTTTTTTTCTTTTTTTAGTTTTTGAAAAACACAAAAATAATTAACTCCGGTGTTGTCCTAAAACAGGGTATGTCAGAGTAGGGTGTTAGTGTGTAGGCCCTTGTGTGGTGCCCTCTGTCAGTGCCTCTGTAACTCAAGACCATGTTAGTATATGTGCTGCCAAAGCAAGTACATCAAGGGCATGGTAGAAACCCATGGGAAACCTTTGAAATACAGATGCCAGGCCACCAGTCTTGGGCAGACTGGCGCACCGTAGGTTTTAAACTGCGTAGATTATTGCTATCTGTCGCCTAAGTTGAGGGCCACTTACTAGATATCATGGTACACATGGTCTGTCTGGGGGCCTTGTGAAAATGCAGATTGCTGGTGGGAGGAGTAGGAGCCCGCACCATTGCCCTCCTTGGGTGCCGATGCCAAGTGGCTGGAGGGTGTGGAGTATGCACGTTGGTAAACCACTGCATTAGCCTTTGTCCAGGGCTTAGGGCACGGTGGACAGCAAGGAAGCCAAGCCAAGTCCTTGCTCCAGGCTCACAGGCAGCATTTCTGTGGGGCTTGCTGTAGGGCTGAGTTTTCAAGGATGCCTAGAAAACTGACTTATAAATAATTTAAGTAATTTTGGAAAAGTGTAGGTTTTTCTCTTACATTTACCAGTATTTTCACTTGAGTTTTCCTGTTTTTTGTTTGTTTGTTTGGTATCAGGAATCGAACTCGGGTCCTTGTGCTTTGGAGGCAGGGGGTGGAACCACTTAGCTAAATCCCCAGCCCTTCACTTGAGTTTTCAATGAATCTCAGCATCAATTAAGAGCTGTTTTTCTTTGAAGCTTTTTTGGGGACACGGTTCCATGATGAAGCAATAAAAATGACACGCGCTGAGCCTCAGCGGGCATGCTCTTGATTTTGTGCAGTTCACAAATAAGCTGTGTGTGTTTGGGCTCTTACTGTCCACTGAACTCTGTTCACAGGTTGTTGCTGAGCACCCAGATGCATCAGGCGAGGAGATTGAAGAACTGCTGGGATCCCAGTGGAATATGCTCAATGAAAAACAGAAAGCTCGCTATAACACCAAGTTTGCCCTTGTGACCTCAGCCCCATCTGAAGAAGATCCCGGTAAACAGGCAGCTGTGCTGTGTCCTATGCTTAGGTGTGACGGGTGGAGGGGAGCAAGTGGTGCTCTTCGTGTGGGCTGGTGGAAGTGTGGACTGTGGCCAGCAGCCAGAGTGCATGTGGTCCCCACACTGCAACCCCTGCTGTCTGCAGTGCTACCTCGTCACCAGAGCTGCTCTGTCCAATCCTCTGTCTGGTCTGTGGGTACCTCGGTCTGCATTTATGTAGGGTAGGCCACTGTAGCCAAGAAGGTTGGTGAGTGAAGGGCCAAGCCAGGCAGTTTCTGAGCCTCCAGGCTTGGCCATGTCGGTTCAGACCTCGGCCTGTGGGCCTGCCTCTTGCTGGAGCCTGCCTGCATGACTGGGCTCTGGGCCTGGAGTGGACGTCCTGGCCTGTTTGCTTGGGAGCCCACAGGTGAGAAGGTGACTGGATTGATCTTAAACTTCGGTGCCCTTTGATTCTTCCCGGGCCACAGGTTAAAAAATAAAAAATACTGCTTTACTTTTGGGCAAAAGTGAGGGAGACTCAAACAGTAAGATGTGGAGAAGAGGCATAGTGGTCAGGTGTGTGACCTGTGTGTGGTTTGCCACACGAGTTGTGGAAAACTGCCCTTTCCATGTGAAAATAAATATGAAGTATTTGGGTGTTAATAACACCAGAACATCTGCATCTCCCAGTTTCAGCACTGAGGGGCCTTAGCGAGCCCAGACATTCAGTGTTTCCAGACCCTTTTTTTTGGTACGAGGGATCAAATTCGGGACCTTGTGCTTGTGAGGCAGGTGGCAGAACCACTGAGCTGAATTCCCCAGCCCCTCCAGACCTATTTAAAGGAGCCCAGGGCCCCTCACTCCTGGAGCTGCACTGCACTGCATGCTGGGCTGTGACCCCACATGCACTGCAGTGTTGCTGCACCTTGCATGTGCAGCCTCACTGGGCTTCTTGGATCTCCACAGCTGCTCATTACATTCATCTTGAGTTTTGTTCCATTTGCTCAGTGTTCCCTTGCATATGTTTTAGAGTACCAAGGATATTTAGAATTTGTGGATTTTCTTCAGAAGTCAAGCTTACCTCACCCTGCGTCATCTGTACACTCTGTCTAGAGAAGTGCTTCCTTTCAGAGTGGCTGGTTTAAAAAGGAACCAGGCTTCCTGCAGCCTGAGTCAGCTTACTCTTGAGGAGCAAGTGCGGACAGAGCTGTGTGTGCCACACTTTGCTGTTGGTCTGTCCTTGAGCACACTAGTAGATGGAGGAGGGACGGTGAGTCCTCACCACAGGGTCATCAGGTGCATGCTCTTCTTGGATGCCTTCGAGCCCTGACATCCGGGCAACCCCAGTGCCTTTCGGTCACGTTGTGCCATCTCTGTGTGTCACCTGTCCATTGACTCCGTACTGGCGTTTCCAACAGAGGCTCGTGGTTCTTCTTAAGGATGGACTGCACCTCACTGGAGGCTCAAGGGCAGTGCTCAGGCGGCGCTTGGAGAAGGGACCAGGAACTCATCCCATCCCCGGAGGCTGGGCGGCAGGGTGACATTGCAGCTAGCTGGTGCCTGTCAGCTGTAGGCAGGACTGATGAGGGCACACGGCCAAGGAGGGTCTGCCAGTCAGGCTGGCCGGCCATGCCTCCTCGTGCTTGGAGCTCAGGCAGTGCTGAGCAGACCCTGCTATCCTCTATTTTGCAGGCCTCTTCCCCGCAGGGCCTTGGCAGCTGGTCCCAGGGGGTGACTAGGAGTGGAGCCTGGTGGGAGCCACTGGCCAAGCTCCCCGAGCAGTGAGAACCAGGGCAGCTGCTGGACACGTGGGCTGAGTGCACCTGTGCCGGTGTGTTGTGTTCCTATAGGCAGTGAGTTTGAGGATGCCAGTGTCCTTCCGTCAGAGCTTGATGGATAGTCTGTTAGTAAGAAACCCCGAACCTCTGAAAAGCACTTGTACAAATGAAAATTCTGCATCCGTACTGAAATAAACATTGACGTAATCAGAGCACCCTCTCTCCAGAATCCACACCTTGTCCCCCTAGTCAGTTCTGTCTGGACACCTGGTGTGAGCAGTCCTCCTAGGGGCCAGTGTGTGGCAGTCAGGCAGACGTCGTTTGCAGATACGGATGTGGTGTTGCTGTTAGGATAGTTTTCTAAGGAAATGCATGAACAATGGCAAGTTATATTTTATTTTTACATTCACCTTAAGTTCCGTCAGTCTTTGAATCTTAGTAAAAGACATTTTAAAATACTGAGTTATATTTTAACTTACTGCTGTAATACATTGAAATTATAACAGATATTGATGTAATTTCTAGATAAAGTATTGTCAGTCCCTAGTCTTTGTTCTGTAGAATGTTGGCCCTGGTCAGCATGGCTGTGGAAGCCTCTTGCAGCCTGGTGTGTAGCTGATGCCCTGCCTGGGGTCTTAGTGCTTTTGGGACGGCATGTGGAGTGGTTTTCATGTGCATCTCTCCCAATCCCATTCCAAGGTAATGTAAATGGGAAAAAAAGAAATCATACAAAGAGGACAGAGGACCCTCCAGAAGATGTTGACATCGAGGATGCACCTAGAAAGAGACTCAGGACCGACAAGCATGGTCTTCGGAAGGTAATTGTGCTCCGGTTTGCCTGGCCCTTGAGTATGTGTGCTGCATGGTTCTCAGGACATGGGCAGGGCGGGCCATGTGCTCTGGGTCTGCCCAGGGAGGCGCTTAGCAGTGAGGCTGCTCTCCCAGAACCAGCTGTGTGGACCTCCAGACACGGCCAGCACTGGGCTAGCAGAGTAAGTAGTGTCCAGACACTCTGAGTACTTTGTGACTTTTAGATTGGGTAAAATGGTACATTAGAAATGGTTCTTGGGCTGGGGTGTAGCTCAGTGGTTGAGCCCTTGCCTAGCATGCACGGGGCCTTGGGTTCAGTGCTCAGCACAGGGGGTAAAAACACCCCTCTTATTGTTGTGAAAATACGTAATTAGTTGACATGACAATCCATTAGAGATATGTACACTTTAATAAAAAGTTAAAGAATCCATCATAGAGGCATTGAAACAGGTTCATAACCGCATTCATGTTGTTAGTAACTCTAGGGATTGTTGGCTGGCTGCACGGATGGACAGGTAACCCAGCCCTGTCAGGGCACAGACCACGCCTGGTGCCTTGGGAGTGAAGCCGAGCCAGGTGCGGTCCTGCACAGAAGCTGTCTTGGTGTCAGTTCACTTGTCATAAACTGGGATTTAAATAGGCTTTTTAAGTTCTTTTTTTTGTGGGGGTGGTGGTGATGAGGGTGGGACCCAGGACCTTGAGCATGCTGGACAAGTGTTCTACCAGCTAATTCCCATCCCTAGGCTTTGTACTTTATATTTGTATTTATATTTATTCAGTAATATTTTATACAAATTAGTTGCATATTTATGATCATGAGTAAAAGCTTGGTACTGTCCTTTACCGATCAAAATTAAGTTGCCCTTTTTGCTGTTTTGTTTTGAAGAATGGAAAATACATATCACGTGTTGTTGAAGTGCAGCTATGTGGACCCACACAATCTGTTTGAGTTCTTTTATTTATTTATTTTTAAAAATTTATATATATATGTATTTTTCTATCTGAGTTCTTTAAAGCTGTATTTGCAGTTGAGGGAAGCAGGCAAGTTTTGCTTCACTCTCCTGGCCACTAAAGTGTTCTCTAGGGCACCTGCTGTCAGGTGGGGCTGTTAGTGACCAAGGGCCCAGCATTAAGCCAGGTAAAATCCACTATGAGTCATTCAAGTTTACAGTTACCAGGAAGTACATACCTAGCATTCCCTCAGGTGGCGAGCCCTGAAAGCAGCCCTTTACTGGCAGTCCCACTGGAGTTGGTTGCTTTGAGATATTTATGTAAATGATGTACCAAAACAGATCTGACCCTGGGCATTTGAAATAGTGAAGTTCACATTAAGTAGCGAGGTAGAAATGTTTTTGTTAACATCCCAGGAAGTCGCATGCAATGGAGACCAAGCGGCAGTGTCCCCTCTGGTCGGCCTCCAGCCGCTTCCACCCCAGTGCTGTGCACTGTCCTTGCCCCTGCTCCAGCCTGGTGGGTGGGTGAAGTGTGGGTGCAGACCCAGCCTCTGGGAGTGGTCTGGTAGCCACTGGGCAGGCAGTACTGCCCCTGTGCCGTTGAGACCACCTTTTCAACTACGTGATTCAAAATCTCAGGACTCAATAAGCTGCTTGCGAGCCTTTCTTTTTCTTTGTTTGGTTTTGTTTTTGCCACTCTGAGTTGTGAAATGTGTTTTATTGATGATCTTTGTGCATAGCTGTGGAATTTTTTCTCAAAATTGGAAACCCTCAGAGCAGCAAGTGAGACTAAGAAAGCTGGCAGACTGCTCAGGGCTGACTTTACCTTGATTGGCCTCTGGCATAGAAGGGCAGTGTCCTCTGCTTTGCAGTGTGCTCTGGGGCAGACACAGCTGCTTCGAGACGAAGGGTGGCAGCACCTCTCTGTTGGACACAGCTGGAGTGGGGTGCAGCTCAGCCCAGGGTGTGGACGTGGTGTGTGGAGTACGCTTTCCAAGAACAAGCACCTGCTGCATGCATTTTCACCAGCCGGTGTTCATTCACATTAGAAGATGTTTCCCCTTTGTTCTTTCTGTTTTCTCCTTTTTTTTAAAATGACAGAGAGAGACAAGCACTGACAAGATGGCCAGGACAAGCTCTTACAAGGCCACGGAGGCGGCTGCCTCACTCAAGAGCCAGGCAGGTAATGTGGCGAGGCCCCTGGGTGCCCAGCCGGGTGGCCCTGCCCTTGGGACCTCCCCTGGGGCAGCTGAGGGGAGAGAGGGGAGCAGGTCAGCAGAGGGTGCAGGGCAGCTGAGGCCACAGCTGGTAGGTGGGAGCCAGAGATGGGAGAGGGGCTGCTGCAAGTGGAAACAGACTCAGCAGTTTGTTTAAAGGTTCATGTTTAACTGAAGTTGTTTTTCTGTTGATTTTTATACTATGGTTTTTTTGGTTTCTTTTTGGTACCGGGAATCGAACTCGGGACCTTGTGCTTGCAAGGCAGGTGGCAGAACCACTGAGCTAAATCCCCGGCCCCCTTACACTATATGTTTTTGTTTTTTTGGTACCGGGCATCAAACTCGGGTCCTTGTGCTTGCGCAGCAAGTGGTGAAACCACTGAGCTAAATCCCCGGCCCTACACTGTTTTTAATTTGAAATTTTATTAGAAAAGTGATTCAAACAAGAAACTTAGTTTTCTTACTTGATGACACCAGCTGTTGTTATAAATTAGGATCTTGATGCCTATTGGCTAAAAGTAAAAGTCACGACTCGTTTCAACTCACTGCTTAAAGAAATTAGCTTAAAATAATTATAGAAAATAACTCAAAACAATGAAGGAACAATCAGACCCCCTATACTTTTCATTAATTATCTTATTGAAATACCTACTGGATAGTTTATCAAAGAAAGCTGACCCTCTCCAACTCTTTTTTTTTAGAAGGAAAACCCCTGGAGGAGGGGCTGGCATGAAGTCTGGCAAGACTCTGTTTTCCTTGCATTGGATGAAGTACTGTGCTGGGTTTTTTTTGTTTGTTTGTTTTGGTACCGGGGATCAAACTCAGGACCTTGCGCTTGGCAGGCAGGCATGGTGCCACTGAGCTAAATCCCTGGCCCAGTACTGTGCTGGTTTTTAAAAATCAGTTAAACTGATTGTTTTTAAAGAAAATATTTGCAAACAATAAGAAATGAGAAAGGTGACTGGATACTTGATGGTACAAAGGGATTGTTATTTTAAAACTTTGTTTTAGAACTACAGATTGGACTTTTTAGCGTATGTGCTGCCGAAGCAAGCACAGTGCGTTAGACTAATTATGGGTGAAATACTATGTGTGGCAGTTGGTTCACAATAACTGGGGGAGGGGGCAGGGGGCAGCGGTCACTGAACCAGGTGTCGGGGAGCTGCATTGTCCCTGGGTTGGTAGGTTGGTGGTTTTGGGCCCAGGGAGCAAGGCATTCACTGTAAAGTCTGCCTGCTTTCATTTAGATTCAGAACCAAGAAGATTCATCTGTAGGGTGTCACTTATTTGAGGGGTAATTTTAAAGCAGTAGAGGTGAGGGTTTAACATTTTAAATTTTACAAAACAAAATTATTTTACAGCAACAAAAAATCTGTCTGATGCGTGCAAACCACTGAAGAAGCGAAATCGGGCTTCTGCAGCAGCGTCTTCCACTCTTGGGTTTAGCAAAAGTTCATCTCCTTCTGCATCCTTAACTGAGAATGAGGTAAAATCATGATAATAATGATACTGTGGTGTTCCGGCAAGGGCCATTAATGACTCAAGTTGCAGTGTGAGTGAAGTTCAGACTTAGCATAAGCATAACATTGGTGTCCTCTATAGGTGTAGGTGAGTTTAGGTCTTCTTAACTGTCTAAAATTTATGAAATGGAAAATGTGCACCATTTTAGGCTATTTGAGTACTTTGAATGTGCTCACACACAGCGTATGTGTAAATGTACGTACAGCCTTCAGTCTTGATGCAGCTTAATTGTTCTTGTAGTGTGTCTTGCTGTAGTGTGTTCTGGAACCCTCATGCTCTGGTCTCTCACATGAAAGGAAGTCCATGCTGGTTCTCACAGGATGTGCATTGTCGGCCAAGCTGACACTGGTCACTGTGCACCCTGTACTGGGAGGGATTCGGGGCTCACAGGGGCGTGAGGGAAGCCAGAGGTTTCTTGGTCCCCACATGCCCTGTGCCTTTGGTCCTTTGAGTCCTGGTGTCATTGGCACTGGAGTGTGGAGGCGCTTCTGAGCTCCCACTGGACCATGACTCCTGTTTTCTAGATTTGCCCAGTCCAGGGTAGTAGAGCAATAGCTCTCTGAGGCTGTTGCCGCCATTATTGTGACATGATGTTTAGATGGCATTGCCAAGTCATCAGTCAGCCACCAAAGGCAGGTGTGACCCTTCTTGTCCTGAGGTAGTTTGGTGTCGTGGTTTAGTGGCTGCCTTCATAGAGCTTACTTCCAGGTTTAATTCCTTGTTACTTTGATCCCGTGGTTCTCTTTTTCTCCGTGTGGATGTGAGCTCTGTTCTTACGTTGTGAGCCGGTGATGACCTTGGGCTCTATTGGACCTGGTAGTGAGATGGAGATGGGACAGGCCCCTCCTCCTGGGTGGAGGCACTGTTTCTGGCCTGGCCCGGCCCTGGTCCCTAGTAGGGTGGTGATGCCATAGCTGCTCCCTCCTGTGGGGCTAGGCTAGCGAGTGAGTGAGAGTCAGAGACCTTGGTCATCCTGCAGGGGACCCTGAGAGTTTTCCAGTCCCTTCTCTGAACTGCAGCAATGGTGTCGATCGAGATGCTTCTCTTGGGGATTTCCTTGATGACTCAGATCAGCTCTGCTGCAGTCAGGAGTGTCACATGTGAGCCTGGGGCGGGCACGCAGTTCGCTGTGTGTAGATGACAAGGCGTATCTTACTTTTGGACATGAGCAGTTCTTCACTGGATTTTATCTGGGAGCTTACTGGAATATGAAAAGACAAATTTTATACAAATTATTTTCCCTTTCTTTCTTGTTCAAGTCAGGTTAGTATTCTAAAAATTAAATGAGAGGTTGTCTACAATTCCAAAGAAGAATATTATAAATAAAAAGCTTTAGTTCTGTAGGCCCTTTCACTTGGTTGGTGTTGTGTTTATAAATATTTTTAATGATGCTCTCCTTGCATCTTGTTTGGTCTGCTCGTTGGTTGAGATTTTACTGAGGCTGCTGTGGTCTTGTCCACTGTTCTTGGTGGTCAGGCTTGTGTAGGAAAGGCCGGCCTGGTGATGGTGGAGATGACAGTGTGGACCTGGGAAGTCTGAGAGACACACTTGAGCTGTCACTGTTGCGAATTACAGAGGCTGGTAGATGACTGGCTCCATTTAGATGGTGGGTGCAGTACCTTAGGCCCACGCACCCTCCTGCATTTTGAAGGTGGTACATAGATCCTTCACTGTGCATGTTCCTTATATATAGTCATTTAAATTGCTAGGTTTTCTCCATTGGGCTGCTCTCCTGCAGCTTATGTCAATCTCCGTTAGAGTACCATTTACAGAATCCTTCTGTTACACACCGTAGGTGAACGGGTAGCCCTGGCTACTGCGTATCAGCACTGCGGGAGCACAGGAAGTGTTCCCCAGGTGGCACGTGGGAAGAGTGTGGAGGTCTGCGACACCCGGAGCCCGAGGGCCGGCTCTGATGTGATGGCTGCTGTTGGGGACTGGATGGGCCCCTCATTGAGCTCACTTAGCTAATGCATGTTTTATGCCCTTCCTTTCATTGCGTTTGATCGAGAGAAATAAGGAGTTTTCATAGGGCTGGTGTTTCAAGACATTTTAGGTCATGTTGTGGTTTAAATTCTTGAAAAATGTATATGTGATAAATAAATTTATATTGGAATAATTGATTACATGGTACTACATCACCCCAACCAAGAGACTAGATTAAACTTACACACTTGCATGACAAAAGGCCTGTGAAGGAATTAATGTGATTTAAGTGTTTGTAACTTCATTTCTTATTCCTTTAGTAGAGCAAATTCTTATTTTTTTGCCTTCACTGGTAACAGCTTTTATGGGAGCCCACATCAGTCAAGTTGGACTTGAACCCAGCTGCCCTGTACTGCACTTAGAGTGATGTAATGTCCCAAGATGTCTGCGGCAGGTGGCGCATCATCGTACACACTAAGTGACATTTCTATCACAATCATTTTATGGAAGATGTGTGATAATCTGTTTTTACTGGTATTAATAAACACATACAATGAAGAAAACAGATAACAAATTTTAAGACCAAGGTAAGATACCTAATCAAGGCCATTTAATCAATCACATTCATCTCATGATAGAAACACATTCATATTCCAGTGACCAATGTAGGTTTCAAGTCGAGGAGGAGGCTGTTCGATGGGGACTGTCCTGTTGCTGAGACAGGGTGCCCGTTGAAGGGGCCATCCTGTTAGAGGTCCTTTTTCCCTCTAGTTCATAACTTAACTGAATTTTTATGGAGAAATGTCAGCATCTGTTCCTTCAGAAACAAAGAGCAAACAGCACACATTAAGAGGCCCTTGTCAGCTGTTCTCATTGCCAGTGAAATGTATTCATTACTGTAGATATTAAACTAATTTCCAACATAAAAGGCAAGAGGAGTTTTGATTCTGTCCTTTTTTACTAAGCAGTTTTACTATAACACTAGACACAGTAAATTTTTAGGAAAATATGCCATTTCCAGGAAAGTATCATTGTGAACCATTCACCTCTCAACTCAGTGACTGAGCTCTAGGGGGCACCACAACCAGGTTACTTATGCCAGCCACTTCACCTGGCTTTCATAGAGCATCAGCATCCCTGTAATGTCGTGGTCTTGGGTGCCAGCTGGGGCTCAAGCCCACAGTCCACCTGTGTCATGGGAGGAAAGGCCCCATTTGCGCTCAGCCCGAAAGGCAGAGCTCACGCTGCTCATGGGCAGTGTGGACGGCACCCAGGCCGTTCCCAGCAGACTTCCGGTGTGTCCGACCTGTAATGAAAGTTCTGACTGATTCTTCTGTTCCAAACCATTAAGTAATGTAACGCATGTAAAACGCTTAGGGTGCCTGGCGCCTTGCGAGGACTCAGTGGTTTGCTGTTGTGACAGTAATGGTTATAACAATAAAAAAATAAAATTGCCATCATTCCATTTTTATCCAAAAGTATAACTTTTACTTTGGCGTGAGAAGTGACCTTGATTGCATCATGCACGTGGGGATAAAGTAAATCCAGCAGTGGCAGAACCCTGGGTCTGTTAGTGTGACACGGTCCAGTGCTGGACATGTGGCTGTGGGTTGGCGGATGCCCCATGGCCCTGGTCAGATATAGTGGGAGATGTGGCCCCGTGGCCTAGGAGCAGTCTAGATTGTACTATCCCAAAAGGACCCAAAAGAACTCAGGTAAATTTCATCTCAAGAATGATTGCTAAATTTAAAAAAATATGACCAAAAGGATGGTATAAAAAATGGCCCTGGTTCAATAAATGATCACCTGAAGTAAAGATGCCAGCCTGCAAGTCTCTGGGCCAGAATTGAGGGGTTTTGTTAGCGTGTGATGAATTTGAGGTGTGGCAGCCGCCAGCGTTGGGAGGCAGCGAGGGAAGAGGAGGTGAGGTCTCGGGCCGAGGGGTGCCTGTTGTGCAGCAGAGTCAGCCTGAGTTGGGTGCAGAGAGTGAGTGAGAAGATGAGGATGGGAATGTGCAGTGTCCCTCTGAGGACATTGGGAAGGTGGCCAGCTGGGTGGGGCGGGGATACTCGGTGTTCCTCAGTGAGGGGACAGTCCCACATGTGGTGGAGCTGTCCTGCTCCGAAGGCCAAGGGCCGGGGATTTAGCTCAGTGGTTCTGCTGCCTGCCGCACAAGCGCAAGGACCTGAGTTCAATCCCCAGTACCAAAAACATATAGTGATGCTCCAAAGGCCAGTCCTGGTGCCGCTGAGGAGGAGCTGAGATCCCGAAGGGTCAGCTCTTTCTTGACCTCTGAGGAGCACAGTGCAAAGGGGCTGCTCAGAAGGGCTTTGGAAGGAGCAGTAGCTTCTTTGCCAGGAGAACAAATATTCATTATGTTATAAATTTAACATGAAATTCCTGCATTTCCTAAAACAACGCAGCACAAGATATGTTTAGCCTTCAGGTGTTTGAGCTGTCCCTTTTAAGATGAGTTTTGCTCGTGTCATACATAAATCACTTTCATGATCCCATTTGACTTGCTTCAAACCATCATTCATGTACTTTGTTTGCCTGGCAAGAGGCATTAACTGTCTTGTATAAAATTTGAGGCATTTGAGAGGGGTAGACGTGTCTGAATGTATGACTGTCTCGGTTGTAGCTGTTCTAAAAGTGCAGGTCAAGCCCTGCTTTGTCCCAGAGCAGTGCTCAGTGAGTGTGTGTGCTGGGATAGAGGCCTGAGAGGTACAGGCCATGGGATCCTTAAGATCCCTCCAGAGCTGAACCTGCTCAAGTGGACTTCCGCCTCCTGATGGCCTTTCCTCAGAGCCAGTGAAGGGCTCTATGTCCTCCTTTAGGCACAAGGCCTTGAGGGGTTGTAGTGGCCTCTCAGGGCTCTCCTTAGTTCTCATTGAAAAGTATTACTCCGGTGTTTTTAAGAGGCTGCTCCTAAACACCAACCAGAAACCTAACCAAAGTTCCACAACTATGAAGCAGAGTTTATAGGACCGAGGGCAGAGGGCCTGTGCCACACAGGAGGGAGCCCCAGCCCTCCCCTCTGAGGGACAGCCTGCTCCTGCATGGGGAGGAGGGAAGGCTTCCTGGAGTGTAGCCTTGGGAGTGTCTGACGCCGCTTCGTGCAGAAGCACAGGAGACTTTGGTTGGGGCTGTCTGGGGTTGGAAGTGAGATGAGGGGAGGGCTGTTTGCTTCATGGTGGGACACACTGGAGGAGAGGCAGGAAAATGGAGCAGGGCCTAAACTGTCAGCGGCAGCCTTGCCATTCTCATGGTCGCTTAGCTTAGGGTTTGAATCCAGAGTCTGGGAGTGGCTGGACAGTGGTGAGTGAGCCTGGTGCCTGCTAAAGGTCTATCACAGAAACACCCTGAAAAGAAGAAAAATTCAGGCTATAAGTTAGTATCTTGTTCCTGAAACACACAAGAAAAATGTTGTCCACATGTATGTGTACGATGAAAGGGCGTGTGAGGTGGGACCAGGTTGTGACGCCGTCTGTGCCCAGGCCTGGCGGGACCCCATTCCCTCAGGCTTCCTGAGCAGGGGCGCAGCCAGGGTGAGCCATCATGAGATGCCCACATGGCTCCCTGCACCCTGGGGTGCCTGTCTGATAGCGCAGGTGAGAAACAAGGCCACTAGGACTTTGCAGGCGTGTTCACTCTGAGTCGTCAGTCCTGAAGAGACTGCTTCTCACACAGCCAGCACTTTGCGGTTGCCGGGCCAGGGCGGCTTCTTCCGCCTGGCAGGCAGGCTTCTGTGTGGGCAGCAGGGGCAGCTCTTTGGACTCAGTGTGAAGTGTGGGGCATTGTATGCTTTTACAGTCAGTAGTTTTGTCACCTCAGTTTTTGAAAATTGAACAAGAAGTAATTGGCTGGGGACTGCTGTTTATCTTTAACACTGCAGTCTTTAGCTGGAGGAGCAGCAGCACTGCCATCACATCAGAAAGGCTTTTCCGACCTGCTTTCAAAGCTGTGGCTGCTTCCTACTGACTCCTAAAGTTTTTTCCTCCTCCTTTGAAGAAATTTTGAAGAAATACACTAACTCTCCCGTATGTTGTAGGACTTTTGGTAAATGCAGTGGACTTTGGTCCCCTTAGGTACTGTCTTCATTGTTTTGCCTAGGCAATTAGAAATGTCACTAATTTGCTTGCCAGTGATGAGAAATGGACTGTGCTTAGTACAGAAAAGGGTGTGTGTATGTTCCTCGTTCCGGTCCAGGGAGGGGGAGGGACACGCTCTCCATGGGACGTTTTTACCAGTAAGGACACCCCCCCACCAGGCCCCACCTGTCACTCTCTGGCCTTGTGCTGGACCCAACACGGGCCGTCTTTCTAACGTACATGTGGTTGCCAGACTTTGGGCACATAACTCCTTGCCAGTATTCTGAAGCATGCTAATGGCCGGGGACAGTCTGTGAGCAGTGATGGATGGGGCGGGTCCTGGCCTGACCTGGCCATGGGGTATTGATCAGCAGCATGAGAGGAAGCCACCCTGCGGTGGTCCCATATGTCCCCAAGCTCTCTATCTCCGGGCAGTGCGTACAGGCCCCTCGGCAGGGGATGCACTGCCCAGGACACAGCTGGGACCCAGGTGGGTTGGTAGACACTTTAGAGACTTGCTTTACCTTTAACAAGGGCAGCCGGGAGCTGAGAGCAGCAGCCACATGGCCGGCTCTGGCTGCAACTGCCTGGTCCTTGCTGCCTTCTCAGGCGGCCTGACTGCACGGAAGCTGGCTGAGACCAGAAGAGGAAGTGCAGCCCGTGGCATCCTGTGGACTCAGGGACTCACCCCCACCTAAGCTAGCATCCAGGGCAGCAGGGAGGGCTCTGTGCTGTGTGACCTGGAAGGGTTGTTTATAATAAAGGTTATTTCAAATTCTAGCATTTTAGCTGATGACTTACTCTAAAATTATTTTAATTCCACTCTAACATTTCACTGTGATGTTAACTTGGAAGACCTGTTTGAGAGTAGTCTTTTGATTTTAAACTCATTAAGTCTGCTGAGCACAGGATTCTTATTATTTGTAAATCTAAAACTCTCTGTGAAAAGTACGTCTAGTAACCAGTTCTTCCTTTATAAAAACATAACTTACACATGCAAAGAATGTCGGTTTATAGAAATATTTATTGTTCAAGGTCTGTAATTGTGTTTCAAAAATGATGTAGTGTTTAACTTGTGAAGGGATTTGTTTTGTCAAAAATTAAAAACTCACTGTGTATAGAGCACACGGCAGGGCATGCAGGCGGCCTGCTGGCACCCTGAGTCTTCCGACGGCCATGCTGCCCCAGCAGTTGGTTGCAGTGTGCTCAGGGTCACATCATGTTGGATAATGCCATTTTGAGAGTCCCTGCCCCCAAAGGAATGTGTTCTGAGGCTTGTAGGTAGCTTGGTACTGTCACATGCTGAGGAGAGAGCAGGGAAAGTATTTTAAGAAAACTGGCAAAGTCAGGAACTGAGCTGCTTGGAGACGTGGGTCGCCAGTGTGGCCCTGGCAGGTGGGAAGTGACAGGAAAGTTGTGGGCAGAGTCTGTGTCTGTTCTGTCACCACACTTTCCTTTCCCCACACACCCTGTTGGATGTGGAATAGAGCGTAGATAGTGGAGGCCGAGCCCTGGGCCTGCTGGGACCACACCGGGACCGTGTCACTTCCACAGTGGCATCTCTGAGTGAGTCCCAGCACCCAGTGTGTGTGGAGGAGGAGCCATGGCTGGAGTGAGGCTCTGGTGGGTTGCCAAGGTGCACCCAGGGGCCCTCCGACCTGGTTAGGGGTCTGTCCAGTGGCTCGGGAGGGCTGCGGGGCGAGAGGGGCCTGTGCACTGTGTCATGGACTGTGATATTGTAAGGTCTGTATTCTGTATGTGGATCTCAGACCCCAACCAGGAAACAAGCCTCATGTGTGTCGTTACATTTATATTTCCATTCAAAGTATGTATTCCGTGTTTTATTTTCTCAAAACAGACTTTGTTAATTTAGGAAATATCTCCAAGTGGAAACGTGCTAACTTTCTGTAAATCTTAAATAAAAGGTGCTGTTCCTTCCTCTGACCCAGGACTGGTTTGTGTTTTCTGTCTTTCTCTCCATGCTTTCTCTCTCTCTTTCTCTCTCTCTCTCTTTTGGCTTTTAAATTTGTTCCAGCCACACTAAGGGAAGCACGGGGTTGGTGGATGGATCTCGGGGCTCTCTTCCCTCCGCCCTGATGAGGCCCCTGCTTTGGGCCTGGCTTCCTGTGTCAGGCAGGTGGGGCAGCCTCGGGCAGCCATGGGGTCACTGTCTGAGTGGGCCCCTGGCCAGGCCTTGTGTCCCCAACTTCCTGATGTCCTGGATTCCCCAGTTTCCACTCCGGTCTCACTTCAGAAGTGCTCAGACCCCCGCCTGTGACCCTGTGTCTGATGTTAAATTTGGGGTGTGAACTCAGAGCCTTTGAGGTGGCCTCTCTCTGGATACTGACCTTAAGGGAGTGGGAGGTGAGCTGCGGGCGAGGGATGGGCGCTGGGCCCTGCAGTTCCACTGGTCAGCCACCTGGCGACAGCCTGGGAAGGCAGCGGTGCTCTAGTCAGTCTAGGGTTGGTTCAGGCTACCCCCGTCTTCCTGCAAAAGGCACAGAACTGAGTTTAAAAGGCCACCTTTGCAACAGACCGGTGTCACGAGATGTCTGGTGGGGCTGGAACAGTGGTCCCTGGTGGCTTCACCACTGCACGGGCCCTTGGGAGGCAGCCCACTTCCACACTGGGTTCAAGTCAGCAAAAACGCCTGTGTTTTTTTCTTCCACAGTCCCCTGTAATTTCAGTGTGCAGAATCTGGCAAAGGCTTCTTAATAAGGCTACAGAATTGGTCTGCTTCCCTGGTAGAATTTGTTTTCTTTGTTTTTTTATTATGGCCCAATTTCACTATCTAGTTTTCTGCTTGTTGGAAAACAGCAAGCCTGTAATGTCATTATTTGTGGATGTGACTAATGAGGTATACAGGAGGTGGCGTTTGTGCTTCTGTTCCATCTCCAAAATTCAGTTTTCAACACTTATTTACCTGAAGACAAATAACAAAAAAAAAATTTTTTTTTTTTTTTTGGTGCCGGGGGTCGAACTCAGGTCCTTCCACTTGTGCAGCAGGCAGCGAAACCACCGAGCTAAATCCCTGGCCCAAATAACCAAAAATTTTTAGACAAGAAGGTTTTCTGTCTTCACTCATTTTATTGTGTATTGCTCCTGCTTGTCAGGTGAGGGCAAAGACACTGTTCGACCAGGGGAGGCTGCAGCCCTGTCCTGATGATCCTCAAGTCCCGGCTCTCTCCTGGGCCCTCTCCTCAGATCCCGTGCCAGCAGCACAGGCACACGATCTTCCCTCCCCTGTGGCATAGCAGTGGGAGGAGGAGACAGGCAGGCAGGAAGGCTGGGTGGGTGTGGGTCTGCACAACTTCCCGACTTCCCTCCAGTCAGGGTTGCAGTTAGGAACACACTTCCGGAGGGGCCTGGTCTCCACCTTGCGGGAGTCAGCCTGCGAAAAGCCTTGTGCGTAGGCGCCTCACTCATGTCTTTAAATGTGTTTGGTGTTTGGACCTGAACAGAGTGGGTAAGAAGGGCCAGCTTCTCCGCCCCAGAGCCTGCCTTAGCTCACCTGGTCGGGCAGACTGGACTTTCCTAAGTGTCTTCGTTTTTAAGGCGTGTGCCTCGTTTGTACGTATGTATACGGAAAAGTCCGTTTCTGAGTTCTCAGCACAGCTCTGTTGACACGCTGCACTACACAAAGCCAGTGGGTGCTGCTCGTTCACAGCAGGTCACGCGGGAGATGGGCGGGCCAGGTCCTGTCTGAGGACACAGCCGCCACTCTTTCTGTGACAAGTGAACCGCCGTCCACCTCCTTCTTCCCAGGTCTCAGACGGCCCAGGAGACGAGCCCTCGGAGTCCCCTTACGAAAGTGCGGATGAAACACAGACTGAAGTGTCCGTCTCGTCTAAAAGGTCTGAACGAGGAGTGGCCGCCAAAAAGGAGTATGTGTGCCAGGTGAGGGATGGCGCGTCGGACCTGTCCGTGTGGGGCTGAGCGAGGCTCCCTGCGAGCGCTTGTTTCCCAGCCCCCTCTGCTGCAGCGTTTGGGAGGCCCTGCTGCCAGCAGAGTCCTGAGACTGAGCTTGCGTGTGGGGTCAGGGTCGCCCCCGGTAGAGGAGAGCTGGCAGAGCCAGGTGTCAGGTCCCCAAGGCCCTGTGCTGACATACATGCTGGGTGGGTGAGGCCTCGGCTGAGAGAGTGTCACCAGACTGCTATTCCCCAAACAGCAGTGCCTATCAGTCAGGGCCTGGGTCCGGGTCCTGCCTCCGTTTTGTGCTGGCTTGGCCGCCGGGCGCAGGCCACTCCCTTTGTGTGCCTCAGTGCCTGCCTGTCGCCGGGCTCTGTGGACTGACAGGTGTGCTGCCCCTTGGCGTGGGCCCTGCTGTGCTGCAGGCCTGCTTTTTCCTGAGAGTGTGCTGTGGGTTTTCCTGGCCTCCGTGTCTGCCCGGAAGTATCTGGAACGCATCCCTCAAGACCTGGGCCCTGTTGTTTCCTCGCCCTCCCTTGGAGGGACCAGGCGGGTCCCTTGACAGCGACTCACTCAGTGCTTTATTTGTTGTGGGCCCTGCGCAGGCCAGGAGGTTCCCTGTGCCTGTGCGCGGGTGCTCAGTGCTGGGAGCAGCAGAGCAGATTTCCTGCCCCTGCAGACAGCACCTGACAGCTCCCTTGTGACAAGAAGGGTGTGGGCTCACATCCCGCTTTGTGCCCACAGCTGTGCGAGAAGACGGGAAGCCTCCTGCTGTGCGAAGGCCCTTGCTGCAGTGCATTCCACCTCGCCTGCCTCGGGCTTTCCAGGAGACCAGAGGGGAGGTTCACCTGCAGCCAGTGCACCTCAGGCAAGTCCACCCCTGTGCTGAGATGAGGGTAGGCTCCCTCCACCCGACTGCTCTGTCCTCCACCAGCTGACATTCCTGACTGCCGAGTGGAACAAAGCTCTTTCTGCAGTAGTTCAGGGTTCCCTGCTTAACCTGCGTGCCCAGTGCTGGGCTCTGCTGCCCTCAAGTCAGGGTCCCTGCAGTCTGGGCTTGTGATGGGAGGACAGGCAGCACCATGGCCCCTCCTGTTCGTGGGCTGGGCCTGAAGAGTCCCCTCCTGCAGGAACACCTCAGGGTCAGGAGGACACTGAGAGCTCCTCGCCAGGCCACCAGCATAGCTCTGCCCCCTGGCTGTAAGCAGCCTGAGGGAGGTAACCGCTCTGCGGAGCACTTGCCCTCTTCTGGGTTTTCCCCAGCCGGTGGCCTGGGCTGCACAGTAAGACTTCCCTGTGTGGCCGCTCAGTCAGGTGCTGGATAGCCTTCAAGGGCTGGGTTGTTCCAAAGAAGGTGTGGGCTCCTCAGCAAGGCTGGGGACGGCCAGCTGCCTCCAGGAAAGAGCTGCTCACTTTGAGGGGTCCAGAGCTGTGGTCTCACTGTGTGTCGTGTCCCCCCCCTCCGTCAACCGTGTATTAGGGATCCACGCGTGCTTTGTGTGCAAGGAGAGGAAGGCGGAGGTGAAGCGCTGTGTCGTGACCCAGTGTGGGAAATTCTACCACGACGCCTGTGTGAGAAGATACCCTCTCACTGTGTTTGAAAGCAGGGGCTTTCGCTGCCCCCTGCATAGCTGCGTGAGCTGCCACGCCTCAAACCCTTCAAACCCACGGCCCTCAAAAGGTATGGATGCCGTGGGCAGGGCCAGTGAGGCTCCCAGGAAGTGCTTGGCTCCCCTGGGGTTTGTCACCACAGGGGCAAACTGACAGTCTCAGTGGTCCTTGTTTGTCTGCTGACTGGACACAGGTGGGTCAGGGCTTTTGTGGGACACAGGACCTGCTTCTGTCCTCCCCTCTCCCCACCCCGGAGAGTATCTTTAGGGTCCTTAGTTTTAAGAGCAGCCTCTATAAAACCATTTGGAAGGGTCCTGTTTGCTCTGGTTTTAGGGCCCTTCACAAACAAGGCAAACATTGTGAGATCAGATTCTAGCTCCATGATTCAAGGGTAGCTGTGTGGGACTGGAGAGGGCAGGTTGTGCGCACCTCTTGGTGTCACCGCTTTTACACCAGTGGCAGCCTGCATCTGGCACAGTTTGGAGGTTTGCTGCTGCCATTTGGTAGGGAGAGGACAGCAGTGCTGTGAACATCAGATGGTGCGCAGGGTGCATGCCAGTGTCCAGGCTGAGCATGCTGGTTGGCCTTGCTGTGGAGTGTGGTTCTCAGGCGCTTATGGGTCTCTTCAACATTTGGAAACTCCTTGGCCTTGGTGAGAGGTTCTGTGATCAGATGCCTCAAGGCTGTTCCACGATTCCTTTCCCAGTTTCTGAGGCTTTGTAGTTTCTGAGGGAGGTGGCAGTGTCTGGGTCTTCAGGCTGTTTCTCACCCTCAGGTAAAATGATGCGGTGCGTGCGCTGCCCCGTAGCATATCACGGAGGGGACGCATGTCTGGCAGCAGGCTGCTCGGTGATCGCTTCCCACAGCATCGTCTGCACGGCCCACTTCACTGCTCGGAAGGAGAAGCGGCACCACAGCCACGTGAATGTGAGCTGGTGCTTCGTGTGCTCTAAAGGTGAGGCCGTGCCACTGCCACTGGCGTGAGGTGTCTGGAGCTCGAGGGCCGCCCCGGCCCTTCAGCCCTGCCCACAAGTGTGTGTCACGGCTGGTTTTCCCCGTTAGGGGTGGGAGCACATGGCGGGGTTTCTCACCGTAATTGCTGCACAGGCCATGCATGCCAGGCCATTGGTGGGGACGCAGCCCCTGCCTGAGCGCTGGTGCGCAGATCCGTGGCTGTCTCACGCCCAGGGCTTCAGAGCTGGGGTGCGGCCCCTGCAGCCTGGCCTCCTGGGCTCAGCCGCTGCCTCCCTTGCAGGGGGGAGCCTCCTGTGCTGCGAGGCCTGCCCGGCAGCCTTCCACCCCGACTGCCTGAACATCGACATGCCTGACGGCAGCTGGTTCTGCAACGACTGCAGGGCTGGGAAGAAGCTGCACTTCCAAGACATCATCTGGGTCAAACTCGGGAACTACAGGTGTGAGGAATA